TTGAATGAGAAGTATAAATATATAAAATTCTGATACAGTATTAGTTTGTACACAAACAAATCATGTCACACTCCAGCAGGACATAATCATTAAAATAAAAGACCTGTACTTAAGAAGTATTTGTATTTCATGAATTATATTATTGCATTGGACCCACACATCCATTTGTGCAGCCTTTATATATGTATATAAACTGAAACAGCTGGACTAGTTCATCCTAAATTTAATAAATTGTTCATACAACAGTTATTTCTGCATTTTTTTGGAGCGGTCCTAGTCATTACAGAAAATCTAACTACTCATTTTAAATCAATACTTTTACTTTTAATACTTAAATACAAAAAATATCAGATACTATAACACTTTTATTAAAGTAATATTCCTAAAGAAGACTTTTAGTTTTACCAAAGCATTTTTGTAAGATACTTGTACTTTTACTCAAGTATCACTTTGTGGTACTTTATACAACACTGACAGTTACACAGATTGTTTGTATGCTTGAGCATGCCCTCATATGTAAAACACTAGAATAAAAGAGCGTTAACTCCTCCTCCCACAACTGTATTTTAATTAATTTAACACACCCACCTCATTACTTAGAGTTTCCTCCATCATTTGCTTTGGATGCTTGTAGCCTAGCAACCCTTTATCAGCAACGAACTACATGTGATGTTTTAGTAAGGGAAGGGTTTACATAACAACTTGTAAGAATTTCTGACAAGTCATTAGTGATTTAAAGGAAAGCCAGACTTTGCGTCAGCGGCTCAGCGTAGCTGCTGCAAACACTGTGTCTAAATTTAGGGATGGCAACAMGCTCTGTGTGACTGCCAAACTCATCCTCCGGTCGCCTATAACTCAAAGCATCCCCGATGCTACAGCAAGGCCAGGCTGGAGCTGAGCCTCCAGGGGGAACAAGAGGRAAAAGATACATTTCTCTGCTGCGAGGACTCTAGTGTACCTAATTCTAGGCAACCAGACACGTTGTGATGACATATAACTATCCACTTCCTGTACTTCTGCCCTGTCTAAAGGGCTGGCTTCTGTCCCAGCTTTAACAGGAGAGAAGCAGGGGAGACCCTGGACAGGCCGCCAGTTATTCACTGGATCGTTTGACATAATATTTGGACCAATCAGGACTCTCAGAAGAGGACACTTCTTGTCACAGTCCCATCTGTGCCTTCTCTTTGTTCCTACTGTTTTTCCCGTCACTTAGGTTTATTCTCGGCGCCTCGTGTGCGCTCCCCTCTGTGATGTTTGTTTCTTGGCAGCGCTCTCCCACTTCTCCTGCCAGCACACCTTTATTACATTTTCTAAATCAAAACAGCGGCTCCGAACGACAGAGTCGATTTAGTGTCCCTGCCAGCATCTGCCTTCCAGGTACTTCATTCCAGTCTGTTTGGTTACAGATAATAAACACCTTGATAAAGGCGGTGAACCTCATTTTGTTCATCATAAGTGACAAACCTTCTTWTTAGTTGGCCAGATTTATTTTTAAGCTCAAAACTTACAAGCATAAAACTTACAGAGAAAGAACAAACTTAAACGTCATTGCTTCYATTCAAGCTGATATAATCCATAAGACATAGAGAGATTACATAATTATTTTTGCTGTGCAACAGTTTTTCTAGCAAGAAAGATGGATTATATCTGTAACAACCAGGTACRAGAAGAAGGAATTGATACATTAGATTCAAAGTTTTTGCTCTCGTCCTTTTATAATTGAACTTGTTCATGTCAATCAGCTGTGAAATTGTTTACCACCTGCGACAGATCAGGTAATTCACAGATTCAGTATTTTTCTTTTCAACATTGATTGTAGTTTTGCTGTCTTTTGTGAATAAAATACATAAGAAGATTTCTGTTTTGGAGCCTGTGAATTTGTTGGTATTAAAATTATAATGCTAAAGCCACTTCTGTAGCATCTGGTTTGAAATTATGTTTTTAATCTCTTTAAAAATGACAAATCCTGATCTAAAATTGGCAACATCCAGTGCAGCTATTCACTTTTTTTCTCTCAGATCTGCCAATA